TCAAGCAGGAGTGACCATTTGGTTTATATCACTGGGAATCTATTTACATAATCAGCATAAGCAATTATGATTCAAACATCTTGCCACAAGTTAGGTCTTCGAATACCTGCCAATAATATTTTTTGCAATGCAATGGTTCAAATAGGTATGCAGGATGACTGCTAGAACATTCAGAGAGCAAATGCTCATAGAGGTTTATTGTGTTACATAAGAAATAACCATGTAAATACATTAGTTGGCATATAATCAGAGGTGTGATTTTTTTTTACATTAGTTCTGCGGATATTGGGGGGTATGGTATCTTACATATAACATGTCAGATCCTTTAATTCCTTGCTCATCACCTCTGGCACGAACTTTGTTACAGTAACAGTGTTCACATGTGCTTTGTAAAAAGACATCACTCCATGGAAAGTCCTTTGCTTCACATTACTGATTGTTTACAAGAGTGTCTCTAAATAAACACTTGACATTGCCAACAGAAAAGTTTAGATATGACATTTGAAGGTGTCCAACCAGTTTCATAGACCTGGTGTGACAAATTTTTACTTTCCAGTGAAGAACTTCAAAATCAAAACCATCATTACTTCAAACTACAGTGTGTCAACAAAATATTCAGGCCCTTGTTCAGTCTAAAATTTATTACCTTTAAACTTGCAGTCAAGTTACTTTTAGAAGTTCTTAATATTTGTTGTATACTTAACACACTCCACAATTTCAAACCAAAAATTAAAAGAGCATGTAATGCAGTAGCTGGATACAGCTGCATGGGTGGTGATTTGTCAGAACCCAAGTGCAGGAGACCGGAGACTGAAAAGTAAAAGATGATAATGAGAATTAATTACTGGCCAATGGGGCTAATCAGCCCAGGTCAGTTAGTAATGGAAGAAATCATCGATCCTAGGAGAAGCCAGGCTAACCACATCCCTGCTGAAAAGAAAGGCTACTGATTAAAGCCCTTTGGAGGGAGTCTTGGGTATGGAAGGGACCCCAATACTGGATCCCTGAAAAGGAACTGAACTGGCTTAGAAGGCAGCCCTCAAAGGCCAGGGGTGCAGATCGGAAAATTTGAGGGTTGAGGTGATGAGCACTGAAAAGAAAAAGTGAAGTTAAAAGGTACTGGCTAGAATAGAGACTACCGCCTCAGGTGATGCAGGGTAATTGTGAGCTTCCTTGGAAAGGAGCTGGACAGATAGAAGGGCCGACTTGAGGCCGGGGGGGGGGAGGGAGATGGCAAACAGAAGGGATACAAAGTTCTGAGCTTGAACAGAGGCAGCTCTAAGCAGAGGAATGGAGGTACTGTGCAGAGACATTTTAATACTTGAGAGAAAGGAGCAAAGAAACCTGTCTGGTGAGTAGTTAATGAACAAAGGGGAACTACAGCCTACAGGAGGACTCCCGATATAGCCCAGATGTATACTGGGGAAATTGGACTGTGTGGCATCCCTCTTCTATGTGTTGCTGTACTTCTCTGTACCATTTAGACCTTCTAACACCCTCTCCTCATCATCTGAAAGGACAGCAGACACTCAGGAAATCATTATGATGCTTGGAAGTACCTTTTTGTTGCTGAGAATGCTGTTTTCTTTGGGTCTTGGAGTAATAGTAAATGTTGTTGTGCTTAGAAAATAAAAAGGGAACTTATATGATACTAATGTTTGTTGCTGGTTTGTGTGTGCATTGGTGATTCTGGGATATGAATAGAACCTCTGGTTTAGTAGAGCGGTCCTAGCCTCCTGTTTGTATTGCTAGGTGGTGTAGTCATATACGAGGCAGGAAATAATTATTGTTTGAGGGGTCACCTCATTGTGTCAAGAGCCCTGAAAAAAAAGAAAAACAGACTTCAGGACGTTCATGAGGCACCAACATACTGTAAGTGCAGTCAAGACACAAATGTGGGGTGAGACAGAAGTGCAAGAGAACGTGCATGTGGAAAAATGAAGAGCAGCCCCTTGGCTTTATATAAAAAAGTGGGAATTGAATAATGAGCTAATTAACACGGATCACAAAAACATGATCTGGTCAGAGCAACAAACCCCTGGAAAACCATGAGCCCTTGTTAGAATATGATGGTTTTCCAGGGCAATCTCTAGCCGAAGGACGTCGTCATGACAGAGAGAAATAAAATATCTAATTAATACGAAAGAGAAATAGAAAAAGCCATAACTGCATTAGAATACAAATCATTGTTGTGTCAAACCTAAATTAATTTGTAACCAAATTAAAGAGCATATTTAGTTGAGTGACATCTGACGTGTATGATAATGTTTGCACATAACTCATAATTTCAGAATAAAAACATCAGGCTCTGTGAAGATTCTTGGTTAGGTAGTGAATTTAAAGCAAAGACTCAACCATGGAGACTAAAGAGTTTTTAAAGCAAGTCAGGGATAAAGTTTTTGTAAAACACAGAAAAGGGTACAGAAATATAGAAGTCTCTGAATATCCCTCTGAGAAAAGTCTACTCAGCCACTGAGAAACTGACAGTACCTTTTACCACTTAGATACTGAATTGATCAGGCTTTCCCTCTAAACTAAGTAGCTGAGCACAGTGGAATTAGGTTAGGCAAACCACTGTGATAGCACAACACTACCAATGACAGCTTTGAAAGAACTACAGAAATCAATAGCTGAAATGGGAGAAAATATGCTTGCTTTCACTGGAACACTGTGGAGTGATCTAGAGTTTGAGACGGTGGTCGGCCAAGCTTCCACTCACCTGTCACTCAGTACTGGTTACAACAGAAACAGATTCTGACAGGCAACTTGTATCACCTGTGGGCAATTTAAATCCACATCTGCATCAGGTGATGCAGAATATCCAAGGTCAGACATTACTCAGGGCTCTGATATACTTGTCATGTCCACTGCTTAAGGTGGAATTAACCAGCAGCTGTGAGAGACGTAAGATGAACCCATGCACTGGGCGAAAGAGAGAAAAGTGCATAAGGAGAAGTGCAGGCAAATATGGTGCGGGCAATTACACTGTGGTCAGATTGTAAATGGTACAAAGCTAGAGAGACAGTGAAAGCATAAATGGAATTCCACAATCATAATTGAGACATTAAGGCATAGTTCATAGCACTGGAAATCACAGAAGCACAAAGGGACAAATCCACAGAATTGATCAGGTTGAAGCTAGAGTCAAGAATCCAGGAAAATAATAAACACAAAGTAACTCAGGAACAGAGCGAGGAAACAAAGCTGAGGTCAGAGCTAAACTCTATACCAGAGCCGTGAGTACTGTCCAAGCAGACCTTAAATATTCTGCACCACTTGATGTGGGTGTGGATGCAATTTGCCCCATGGTGATAGAGGTTCTTGTTGGAATGTGTTTCCTTGGTAACCGGCACTGAGTGACAGGTGAGTGGAAGTGTGGCCGACTCCCATGGCAAACTCTAAATCACTCATCTAGCTCTCGTTCCAGTGAGAGCAAACCTGACAGCTAAATTCTATAGTTTTGCAACAAAGAACCTGCAAGATCCTGCAAAAAGAACAGTAGTAAAAGGTGCTGTGGTCAGATGAGACCAGATTGGAACTTTTTGTGAAATAAATAAATATCAAGTATCAACAACACAACACATCTCCTAGTAAACACCATTCCTACAGTCAAATATGATGGTGGTATTATCATGTTAATGACATGATTAACTTCTGTAGGGACTTGAAAGCTTGTTAGGATTGAAGAAAAAATGGTTGGAGTAAAGTACAGGCAAATACTAAAGGAAAACATGTTTCAGTTGGCTAAATACTTAAAACTCTGATGGAAATTCACCTTTCAGCAAGACAATGATCTACAGCACGGCTATACTAGAGTGTCTTAAGAAAAAGAAAATGAATGTTCTTGAGTGCCTCAATTAAAGTCTTGACTTGAATCCTACTGAAAATCTGTGCAGACTTAAAAACTGCTGTCCATAAGCAATCTCTAAACAACTTAATAGCAGCTTAAGAAAGCCTGAATAAATCTGTCAAGACAAATGGGCAAAAATTGGACCAAGACAGTTTTCAAAATTGGAAGATACTTACCTACAAGACTCATGGCTGTTGTTGCTGCTAAAGATGCTTCTACCAAATATTGAGATTAGGGATTGAAATTCTTACAAAACTAGCATATTTGTTGTTAATGTTTTTTTCTAAACTCTTACACTTTCAGTTTATGCATTCATGTTTCAATCACTTATTTAAAAATCAGTATGTATAAGTAATATCACAAGAATGGACACTATAGGAGAGGTCTGTATATTTTTATAATGAACTGTAAGTTATTTACAAGTGATTCTGTAAGTCAAACCCTGATATACTCCTTTATTTTAAAATTAATTTATCTTCCATACTAGAGAGACCTTCAGAGGACAGTCTTCATATATAGGTTTTTAATTAGAAGGAAAAGGAAAAATGGGTAATTTCAAACAATCCAAGTGCTAACTGATAGTTAAGACCTTCTGACAGAAGAGACCTAGAAGCTATTGAACCTCTGAAAGGCAAAGACGTTTGTAAATTGCACTTTAGATCTGATCATTTCATGAAAACCCATTAATTACTTCAGATTTCAAACCAGCAATGAAGCGCAAGCATTATAATTGAAAGGAGTTCCTGTGATGTGCAACAGAGAGGGGTCAATTCAAGAAGAATGGGAATGAGCTAATAAACCGATCACGACAATTAAGCACACCAATATCATCTTAAAATCCTTTTATCTCCCAGATGGGTGGTTTTAAGCATTGCTAGACCTGACCAGAGAACTGCAGTCTTTGCCCTGCCACAGGCAAGGAAACCAAAATCATTAGGGGGTGGTAGATTCCTACTGAAAGGACACAGAGCAAAGCCAAGGGCAGACCTCTCCCACTGAGAGACACTAATTTCATTTCCCCCATTTTAATGTAGATGTGAAGAGTGGGTGTTCATTGATTATTTATAAAGCAAAGTGCTCCATCACTAGAACTTGGAAAAAAACAGTTAATAATCAACATCTGTATTTGCTTTATTGTTCCTCACTTCAGACTTCTTTGTGTCAAACACAGACAGCTAGGAAGTGAGAAGAAAATTACATGGGGCAAGAAAGGGTAAGTACCTTTAACCCTATAAATAAAGAAAGGTTATCAACCATTTCTTATGCTTTATGATGCAAATTATTTGTTCTTGTGTTAGCAGTCATGCCTCAAAAATGGACATTGTACATAAATAGGAGTCAAATGCACATGATAATATTTTCTTTTTCTAAGAGTGGTTATGTAATTTAAAATATGAAAGGATGGAAAAATAAATATTTGCAGTATGTCAATGCCCTAATCAACTTGTTCAAAAATAATTGTCTGTGTGTGTATTAGATCACAACAGCAACACAGCCAAAGAAATGTCTTTGAAGTAAATCTACACTAGCAAAAAGGTGCAACTACAAAGTCACTGCACTTTTTAAACAGAAGCTGCAGCCCATACTGGAAGTCAATGGGTTAAGAGGTTATATGAATAACTCCAATAAAGATGGATGGGTTCTCAACAGAAGCGAGTCACAATCTTTAATTTCTTTTCCTTCACTATCCCCCTTTTGAAATCAATACAAATTACACCACATTCAGGCCAGACTGGAGATTCACATCTGAAACACACACATAAATTAAGCTGTCTGTAATGGACCCAAAGATAGAAACTACCTACAAATCAAAACAGCAGGGTCAGCCGAAGCCTGAAGGTGAAACCCCCATTTTTGTTCTATTACAGTCACTGCCCCCGGAATGAATTATGCATGGAGTCACACCAGGATGTTATACAAAGATTATAAAGAGGCATTTAAATTTCTCATTCATATTTACAAACAAATAAATACAAATAGTAAATAATAGAACCGTATATTGATATATGGTGGCATGTCTCTGCTAAATGACAAATGGGGCATAATTCATTGTAAATCCTTGATGAGTGACAAAAGAGCACTGCATATAAAATCAGCGAGAAACTGTAGAAAAATTGAAATAAAAACATTCTTTAAATAAATATAGCTCATATGTAGAATAATTGATTATATTGATTTATCTATTTGGAGACAATTTAACATTCATATCCCAACACTGCACTGCACATGTGCAGTATAAGTGCCTGACATCTTTTTATGCAGTGGATTTATTTCTGCAGATCAACTAAAGGTTTTAGACACAAAAGCTAAGACCAGAACAAGATTGTTTAGACGATATACTTTGAACACTAGATTTAGCTTTTCAGATATCAAATGGGATGTGATCTGATCTTTACTTTTGCTCCATTATTGTGATAGTGGAGTGCCCATTCAAGCTGACTAAGTGGGAGGTTCCCTGCAGTGATGGTGCATTTCTCAATATACTCATCTGAAAGAGAAGGGAGACCATGTGCACTTATTGATGGAAAGCAAGTGGTCAAAACCTGAGTCATTCTTTGTCGTGAACAAGTCCTGAGAAACGGACAGAGAGAATCCCACTGCAATTTGGAAATATCAAATTAAGAGAAACAAATGTATTTGTGCTGGCAGTCATTCAGACTTGTGCAAAACAGAGGTTAAAGGATTCATCTCAGGGGAAATGTGATGTTTGCAATTTTGCTCACTATGAAATGCAAGCTTGAGGGTTTTAATTCTCAGTTCACAGGAGAAGTATTATATTTCTCTGTGGCAAAATCTCACAGAAATCTCTTTCATCTCTATTTCTCTTTTAGTGAATAGATGGCAAAATAATTGTGTTGAAAGCAGTGTGTAAAGCAACAAATATTCCCTTAATACAGAATTACTAAATTTGCACTTCAATTTTTGATACAACGTGGAGGAACTTTCTTGAGATCACCAAGCAAGAAAGAAACTCTTATTAAGAACATTTTCTGTGCAGTGTCTCTTTCCTAAGGTTATCATTTAAAATGTGTGAAGCTTATAATGGATTTAATTTGTATTATTTTGTTGAGAGGGAATTTTTAATTTTCATTGCACACTCTTTCATGAATAATTATGAAGCTGGACAGCCCTGTCCTGGAAATTAGTAGCAGTTATTGTGAATGTCAACAATTCTCATTTATTTGTATTTATTACACCTTTCTTTTTTCATACCCCTTTAGTATTCATGCATAGTCCATATCCATTCTCTGGAGAAGTCAGATTAACTAAACTGCTGGCATAAAATGTGGTTCACTTTTTTGTGATTTTATGTTTCATTTTAACTTAGCCTGACATCTGTTGTTTCCTCTTGTATTTCACTAACATTACACAAAACAAAACTGTATCAGTGTAAAGGTTATAGATAAGTATTCCCCTCTGCATGATTGTGAGCTTGAGTCCCCACTGCTGGTACATCCTTAAGCAAGATACAGGTACTTAACCTTAGTTTCAGGCTCCTCAGTCATATAACTGTGTACAAGCATTAGTGGGGATAAACCTGCAAGGGTCCCAACACCAGGGTTGGATGGTGGGTTACTTATAGCAACAAAGATTGAGATCTGGCCTCTGGTTTAACCGCCCTCTTGGTTCAAGCATGAGCACTATCTAACACTACACATAAAAACTGTTTTCCTGAGCTCTGCTTTGATAAATTTGAAGGGACCTTCATCATTAGAGTAGAAATGAAATGTTTGTAATAAATCAGAAATGCCACTTTCAGTAAATATTTCCATAGGTGACAAAAAGCACTTTCATGCCTATTATGGCAAACAATGTACCTTAATTGGACAACATTTAATAATCCTACTGTTTTTGCTCTGCTGATTCTGAGTTTATATTTTACCTAATGGTATATAAAGTCTGGAATTACCATAGCAGGTCTGTAATTAAATGTTGAATTTGTCTTTGCTTTAATAATGGAGCTGATTAATATCATGCTCTATGGCACCATGGTTTTCCCTAGGTAGCTCTTTTCTGAAATGAGTTTGTTTTGAATTGAAGTCCCAGATTAAACCTCTGCAGCTTTATTCCTGTTTTCCTTTCACTCGTAACATTGCTTTGTGGATAATAATTAGTATTGTTAATGAGAGATTCTAAGGTTGAACAACAATTAAGTTTATAGTTACTTAATTCTTTTAAATCAATTGAGCCATAAATTCAAAACATTGTTTATTTTTCCAGGTGCTTTGACATTTTTGTTAGGTTTTGCTCTATTATGAGAGCTAGATAGGCTATGCTGAAACTTCATGTGCTGGCAGACAAAAATAAATAAAATATTAGGGTGCCCAATATTTTAAATTTTCTTTGATACATTAATAACATACTGACACATCCACTCCAGAGGAAAGGCACAGTGCCAGGTTAAACTCTGGGGAAGGCTTTAATTCATAGATTAATTAGCATGCTTCACAACTCGACAGTAGAGGAGGAACAGCTAAACAGTGGTGTGGCATTTGCCATTTTTATGAGAAATATTACTTTTTATATATGTGTAGTCTGATGCTATGTTAATTTTATGTGCATACAGTACATGTTTTTGAAAATATTAATTTCTGCTGAAATGCAAAATTTCCACAGATTCTTCATTTTCAAGGAGTACAGTGTACAGTATCTTAGTGGTTTTCTCTTGGTTAAATAATTAAAATATATACAGTAAATATAAACAATCTCCTACTTTTCTTCACTCCAATTGGGTATGGTGATAGGAGAGGCAACTGCACCCATTCGGCTCAGCAACTGTGGTTGCAGACACAGGAAATGTCTTACGATGACTGATGTATACTGCTGAACAGCTGTGATCAGCTGTTATTACATTTAATCTCTTTCCCTCTTTTGTCATCACAGATTCCACAGGAGAAAGTGCTAATTCAGCAGTCTGGGCAGACTCCTCAAGGACAGTGTGTGTAACAAGTGACAGTTTAACCAAAAGACCAAGAAGAAAATCATCTTTAATTAAACATTCCTAAAATGTTGTTTCAATTGATATTACTTTCACCGTTCACAGTTCCCCCCCTTAAACAAATAATTTAAAATGATGTTTGTTCTGTGGTTACAGCTACCTCAGTCCCCAAGCAATTCCTGTTCTTAATCAGCATATCATTGTTATTGTCTTAAATACATTGTTTTCAGGCACAGTGTGCTCCATTACCAACACACATCGCATCCTCTTTTTGGAGGCATTCTTTATGATGAGACAATGATGAGCATGTGCCTCACTATAGTCTAGCTTGTAGTATGTGTGTGCATTATCTAATTTGTGATGTCAGTGTGTGTACTGTATTGATCTAACCATTGTGAACTGTGGTACACTAATATGTTGTCTAATATACATATTAATATATTGGTTAGCTGTTTTAAAAACAGTATGAACTGTTTCAATTCTGGCTTCAGTACTGAGCCCTCCTTGTCTTCTGAGAAAGTCTTAATTAGGCGCTCTTCTAAATTTTTCATTTCACAAACTCTGCATTTCTTAAAACCAAAGGATAATGCACAGCAACATTCACTGCTTATACATTTTTCAAGAATGTTATCTAATTTACCAAGCATAATAAATTGTCTGTTAAAATTCTTTCACAATGATATCTCTCTTTTGGTTTTGGAATCCTCCTAATGAATTACCTGATGGCACAGGGTGTGAATGTGGCACAGTTTATTGGTCCAAGGATCTTATTCAGGTGTTTCTTGAGGAAAGTTAAGGTACCAGCTTCAACCATTAGGCAAGGTAGCTTGCTCCATACTCCCACGACCTTTTGGATATAAAACTGCCTCCTGTTCTTAGTTTTAAATGCACTCCTACATTTCCACATGTGTCCTCTGGTTCAGATTTCACATTCTTTCTTAAGAACTCAATTGCACTGACATTGTCACCGCCTTTGAGAACTTTGAGCACTTGTATCAGATCCCCCTGTTGTTACGGCCATGGACTGAGATCCGTGTCAGGTCTTGTAGTAGACCCTATGCGATGTGGTAAGAGCTCGAGAAAACAGGAGGCGTGTTAAAAGGAAATACACAGGGGTTTAATAGTGCACAAAATAATAGTGACAGTCCGTGAGACAATGAATGGGTGAGACAAAGAACTGCATCCAAATCCAAACGGGTCCAAAGGCAGGTCAGGGCACAGTGCGGGAGTCTAGCCGCGAGTAATCCATCCTGGGACACGACAAGGTTAAAATCCCCGGGAGGGGGGAACACACGGAGAAACAAAACTTGGAGGTCCTAGAGTGACGGGGCGAGATCCTCCAGACCCCAGGAAGCGGGAGGTATCGGGAATGAGGCCTATACCCTCAGGAGACGAATGTAAGGTTTCCTGATGCTAGGCGGGCCTTGCAAGATCCTTACCCTAATGATGAGCCGGGAGGAGCCAGTCTTTAAATAATACACCTAAGAAGGTACACCTGGGGAGCTTAATCACAGGAACAATAATGGGAGTAGTGGAGCGCCCTCTAGGATGGGATGTCAGACGTGACACCTGTAGTCTTTTGTAGATTAAAAAAGTTTTAAAAATAGATTTTAAAAAAATTATTTCAACCTGACAATGTAAATAGGACATTCGTTAAACTTGGAATTCATCTGTTTTTTTCTTCTCTGGACTGATTCTAGAGCAGCAAAATCTTTTTTGTAAAATTATGACCACAATTGTTCACAAATTGTCTTTGCTCTAACTAGAGCCTGTTGTTTTTTAATCTTTATAAAGTACTTTCTTTTCCCTTTCATCTTTACGAGTTCATTTGTTAATCCAATTTGGATATTGGATTTTATCTTTTTAATTGCTATTTCCTGGGATAAATTTGATCTTGACCTTCTGTTGCAATCGATCTACCTTCTCTCATTTTACAGTACATCTCTTAACTTATGTTTCAGTCCTTCTTGATATTATAATATTTTGGTTTGATTTAATCTGTATAGTTTCAAAATATGCTTCTAAGCATTCCATATTGTTACGAACCCCTAATTTGGCTCACTCAGTCACTAGGAGATGAAGGAGCCATGAACACAAAACGTTAAGAAATAAAATAATTAATTGATTTAAATACCAGGGCCTGTTCCCCGGGAGCAGATATAGGGCGACAAGACAACTGAGGGCGACATAGGTATTGGTTTGTTTCTGTTAGGCATTTATTCCTAAACAGTATAGACATTTATATTATTACAGCAAACAACTATTTAAAGTTGTATAAGAATGAGTTGTTTGAGATCTAATAGTGAGTCCCCGAAAACGAAAGGGTGTGATTTGTGTAGTTAATAAAACAGTCAAAAGAATATAAGAACGGCTCTTTATTAAGATACACAACACTGTAGGTACTTAGGACATTAGGAGAATACTTTGCTGATTTCAAATGCTATCATGATAAAACTATTTTAAATGTCTAACCTACCAGGATACTACAGACTGATCACATACAGTGATTCTTCTCAGAGACAAAAGTGATGTGCAGCCACTAGTAAATATAATTGTTCCCACTTCACGGGCACCAAGAGAAAGGGCTGAGACACATGATGTTCATGCTCTTTTCTGACAGCCGTTTTTTAAGCTCTCATCTATTTCCAAGTTATTGGCTTTAAAAAGAGAGGGTTGTGAGTATCTTTGGCCACAAAGTTATCACTGTTTAACACAAAGCAATCATTTATATCAGTTGTGGCCTACACGTCATACTTTTCTCCACTTTCACTCTTTTACTCAATAAGCCAATATTTCAATGTCTCGTGAAACTGCCAGGAGAGCACCACAGCTTGCAAAATCAATTTTAAGCAACTTTAAAACACCATCTTTGTAATATTTCATTTTTGTATCTATTTCTGATTTTTTTAATGGATTTTTCCCATGAAATAAATATCCTTCAAATTCCAAAAATAGCTTTTAATGTATTTATACAATAAAAGCTGATGACTTGGATTTGGAAAACATGGTTAAGAACTACTTGCACAAGTATAGGTGGGAAATAAATTCGGTGCTTTAAGGTCTGAGCATTTTAACCATAATATATACTGTACATGAGTTCATAGACCTGGATTTATAATATATAGTTTTATAGATTTGTACTTGGGGATATTAAATCCTTAACCTAGAGGAAACCCCAGTATAAATAACTGTTTTGTTTATTTAACTGAGCACCTTTCCATTAGCTGATTACAATCTTACTTCTGCATTCTAAGACGTGGACATGTGATTGATATTAAATAACATCACATTGGTTAGCACTAAATCAGCCACTAAATTGCTCTAGATGCTATTACGACTTCAGTATGTGATTGCGTGTTAAACTGGTTTCCAAAGGTATTCTCTAACCAGGAAATCCAATAATTCCATTAACATCATTGGGAGTTGTATATTTCTATAAAGATGTAATGGGTGGATGTGCTGTACTTTCATAATTCAGATTGCACTCCAGAACCCTTATTAACTATGTGCCTCACAAGCAACTAATATGCAGTTAGCCACAGAGCTTATAAAATCCAAAATGTAATACCAAGACTGCATGTTAAACAACACATCAGAAAGAGCAATAGCAGAAATACCATGTCAGAAAACATTTAAAGGACCAACAGAATCAGTATTTTAAAGATCATCCTTTAAATCAGCTCACAGAAAAAAATATAATAGGAAGGCTGTATTAAGTTGTGATTGTGAAGATGATCTGAAAAAGGAAATATTGTATACAGTATATAAAAAGAACAGTGATTTGACAATACTGAGTCTGGTACAGTAAAAATGTACCTAGAAAGCAAATAAGCACCTTTACCGATGGAAGTTTATTTTCATACATGAAGCAAAAGAAACTTACTGTACATTTACCAAATACAGTCTTTGTTCTTCACAATTTTTTAGCACAGCTTTCACAATGGTTTCATCACTGATGAAAGATGATAAACAAGGGTGTAGCCATATGTAATGGAATCAAGTCAGACATTAAAGTTTTACCAAAACCTCATTCTTAATTTATCCGTTTTTACAGATTGACATTTCCGGCATAGCAAGAAATAACACCAGACATGAGAATACACATTTTCTAAAAAAATATTCATTAGTGGACAATAACTGAAGGGGAAGACAGGCAGATGAAGTAATTCAATTGCAGTCACAACAAAACTCTTATGCATTCTTCCAGCACTTTGATGAGGAATTTGCACTCTTTAATGGACTCTTTTTACAATGAGCAGCAGGCAGTTAGATGAAGACAAATCATATAAAAAAGCACAAAACTTCTATAATTATTACAAGACCTTTGCTTTCAGTAGTGGACCAATTCAGCTTGAGGGGAAGAGAACTGAGGGTGATTGAAAATGTTAATTACAATTTTTTTTACATGAAGGAGAAAAAAACAATGAAAATAGTAATTTACAGTAAGATGTGTTTTTTGTGTGAACAGCTCTGATTTGCATTGATTAAACTTCTCCCTCTGCCGCATAGCCCAGTAGATTACAGCATTTCATTTGAGAAACAAAATGTCTTACCAGGGAAGAGGCACAGAGTGACAGAACTGCGGTATTTTTCTAAGAGGGTCATTTATTCATCTCTAAAACACTTATAGAACTGAGTGCTCAGGACTCCAGAAAGAGTCAGGTTACGACAAAATGGATATGATCTGGATGATTAACAAAAGCGGATAAAAAAGCAAAGTGTTGACAGCAGGGAATCGCTGAAGATGCACATCTTAGATGGAAAACAGAATCATTACAATCAAAATTCATGCATGGTCTTTATTTTTTCTTTTCAGATTGTAGCACAGAGCCTCCGTAATTTAGCTTTAATGGCAAATTCAGTGAGAACAACGCCTACCGTAGCACTACGGATACCCATCCATCTGTCAGTTTTTCTAATGGTGCCTGACTCCTTTAGCCTGATAGACTGCCTCAGATACAAAATATTCATCGGTATACATCAAACAGAAATAAACATAAAGAGCAAGAAAGTGATTCTGT